AGGCTAGATTATCCCACGTGAGATTTTATCTGATATACTTTTCATATCACCAAAAGCTGGTTCATACAAGAAGCTGCTATTTTTATTTTTGCCAATATTATTACTCAATGTGTGTAGATTATTATTACTTACCGCCCAGCAATGGCCGAGTGGTCGCTGAACACTGATAGTTCCGTCTGAGGTTCGAATCCCGCGAACGGGTGTGCTGCATGGACGTTTTCGTGGTTCATGTGTAACGTGTATACGAGCCAATATCCCTTAGAAAGGCCTCCGTGAAGGCATCCATCCCTTTGGGCAGATAGCCCTTGAGTGCTTTGCCATAATCAAATAAATCAATATATTATTACTTACTGTCATACATTATCTGTTTCACAACCAAGTGTATCATATTTCTGGAAACATGCATTCTGACGTTACGCAACCAAGATTTGCCATACGGTATAGTATTCTAAATATTGTAAGATTATACAGTAGTCATTCTAAAGCCGCATTTGCCCTAATACTAGAAAAGATGGAAGAGGAAAGAGATACTGTCAGCTAATAGATAATTTAAACACAGCAGTCAAAGAAAAGAAGTGGACGATGTGCAGTAGGAATCATATCATACTGCATCATGATAATGCCAGACCACATGCTGCTTTGGCGACTCATCAGAAAACCGCAGATTTAAAAGGAAAAATTATGCAGCATTCACCATACTCCCCATACCTAGTACCTTTCGATTATCACTTGTTTTGCTCCTTGCAAAATTTTTTGAAGGAAAAAAAAAAAAATCCAAAACTGAAACATTAGCGAGCACTATTTGAGTTCATCGCCTCTAAGGATGACATTTTTTAAAAATGGTATTTTCAAATTATTATCACGCTGGCAAAAGGTCATAAGTAAAGACGGAAATTATATTATCCAATAAATATTATTGAAAGAATGAGAAATGTATTCTTTATATTTATTTCCCAAATGGACAGAATTTTCCGGTAGAACTTGTATATTGACAAATATCGCAAGCTGGGGGATAAAAAATAACCTCACTATAGCCATCTGTAAGGTTATGAGTTGCAGTTATCAATCATCATAACGAAAATCTCCGTTATAACTCTAGCAATAGTTTGCGATGTAATTTTATTCTCATTTTACTGTTTAAAATAATATTGACATAAAGTCTTCAGTTATTTAATATATTACAAATATTGGTAATCCTGTTCACGAGAAAAACATTGAAAACATTTTTTCATTATAAGCAGATTTCACTCAATTTTAATTACTTAGAGATAGTGAAATCTGCAGCTTTAAATTATATTTTATTCCTTCTTTTGCCAGAAGGAATCTGTTTATGAAGAGAGTTTGTGCTTGTAGTTGATTCCCTTCTTTATTTGTTATCACTGCTGAAAATATTCTTTCACTTGCTCTTGATCATGAGAGGCAGAATACAGATTTAATTAATGTTTCAAATGAGTAAAGAAATAAGTAAAGAAAATTGTTCTCTTAAAATAGTTTTTACCCCCAAAATGTCACGATCTCTTGATCTTTTTGTCTGCTCCTTAGCAATCTTCAATACTTGTCATTCTTATCGATTATTTTTTCAGTAGCTGTAATATTAGGAAAATTCATAGCTAGTGGCACTATACTATAAAAAGTATTTGTTTTGCTCATTTTATAATTCAACATTGCTAAACTTTTTATTTCGGGATCTCTGTAATTAATTTGTTTGAAAACTTTCTTGTAGAACTCTACATAAAAGGGAAAACGCTGCACTTAAAAGTTGTGTCTTTTTTGTACAACTTAACTCTTACCTAAAAATGTTAGAAGGATTTTCCTAAATATACATTTTCAGATGTCCAAGATCCAGTTTTTCCCTATGAAAGGCAACTTCCCACTGTGCCTACGAAAAGGAACCCTCAGAAAGTAAAACGTTCTTATTCTAAAGAGGAAAGTACTCTTTCCACGCATTCTACAGCAACATAATATTGACTAGATTTACAACTATATATTGTTTTATAGGTTAGGAAATTAAACAAAAAAATTAAATGTGCTTGAAGAATTCAGAGTAGCAATCTAAAACTTATGCATCGAGACCTGACAGGGCATTTGCTAATTTCTTTCAAATAAATGTAACCATAATTCCCATTGCATTTGAAAGTATGGGGAAAATGTATTTAGGTGATAAAGCTTCTTCACTTTATGGCAAACTGTTTTTTGCGCATTCGAAAATATTACTCATTAGGTTACATCGTACTTATCTTTCATTTTTTGTATTTATTTCAGACTCATATTGTTAAAAAATAATTTGGGCTCGCTGATCTGTAATTTTTTAACCCCTTTCTTATTTGGCCTTTAAATTCTATATCACATATTGCAAAATTAGTTTTACTGTCAATAAAATTGCCCGTTTTCTGTATCCCTTTCTTCGTAACTATGTTTGTTTCTTGTTTTGTTCTGTCTTGCTTTGTCCTGCAGGCAGCAGGATAAAGCAAGACATTTTTGTTCTTTGCTTGCCTAATAAAAATGAGTATTTTGATAATAATGAACTTCAGACATGTACAAAATATATGTATCTTAGTTTTTTAATATATTTAGTTTTTACGTAAATTAAAAAATGAATATACAGATACGCGTATTTTGTACATCCTGAAATTCACTGTTTTGTTCAGACTAAATTATCGAAAGAATCTATTTAATGAATATGAGAATGAACACAGATAAAAGCAGCAAGTCTAAACTGCTTGCATTAATGAAATGCATTATTTTCTATCTCAAAATGGTCTCAAAAAGTTACCTTTTGAGAACAGGACAATACGAGTGAGAAGGAATCTTTGGAGTTCGGCAGTAAGTCTGCTATACTGCATCGATTCCACGTGTGCTGATAAGATTAAGGTATTTTTACGTGAAATTAGTAAGCTATCATTTGTGTCACTTCCAAGAAAAGTTATCCGAATACTGACACATCCATTATATTTTAGCCTTAAGTTTTTTGATAAAAAGCAACATACTAAAAAACTAATGTTTTTTTAGTGTACAAGCCTGCAAATTTTCTGCTTATTCAGTTGATTGCTTATTTGTATATCTTTTGATATTTTACGAATAAAAAGTGGTAAAACAGATTTCAGTGTTCAATCGACATTATGTTAGCAATTACGGGAAATCTAATTTCCTGTTTTTGCAGAAAAAGTACTAAACTGGTATTTAAAATGTAGTTTAATTTTTACATTTTGCCCATTATTTCTTCATGTGATGGATATATTTAAATGAAATCAAACATGGACATAGGTTAATATAACACAAAAAAATATACTGTACAACAGTCATCGTACACACTGACGCATGATTGTGCATAACGCTCAGCGACACAGGAAGGTCTAAAACAGAGATTGCAAGAGGGAACAAAAAAGGGAGGATAATTTAGGGTGTATGATTGCTTGTAACATACAGCTCTCACAGCGTGATTTCGTACTGGAAATGAGGCAATTTATGAGTCCTTAATGGCAGTCGGTTTCACTCCTGCAGTAACGCTGTTTTCATGTCCTGGAGGGTTCTGCAAAGAGGAAGGCAAGTTACAGTTGCCCTCCTAAAAGTATGTCAGACAAGTTCTGTAGAGTTTATGCCTAACTAATCGATCTGGCTAATAGTTTCACTTTCTAAAAAACCATCCATTGGGTTAGCTCCATGTAAATGAGGTTCACCAACGGCTGAGCGGTAAAGTCGCTGAACATTAGTAGTTCGGTCCGGGGTTCGAATACCGGCGAATGGGCTGGCTGCATAGACGTTTTCGGGGTGGTTGTGCGGCATTTAAATCACTAAACCATGTAAGCGAATATTGTCATCCATAAAAATTAACGAACGGTCAACTACCCTGGAAAGACAAACATAGGGCTCTGAGATGCCATTCTTCTATATCACAGCAGTTACTGATTCTCTGTCAAAGACCAGAAGGTCTATGTCCACCCCCGTCTATCAAAACTCCACTGCCATACTGCCCCCTTTCTGGGATTTTCGAGAACAAGTAGCGGTCTTTGGTTCACTCCAGATGAAGGTGCATTAGCCTAAACCGGAACTCAATCTATTAAGAGAACGACCCTCCCAATGCTTTCTCCAAAGTAGATGTTCTCTGTATGGTGTTAAATTAACTCTTTTGTGTGTAAAAGTTAGCGGAGACGCAAAGACAGAGTCATCTTGCAAATAGAGGAAGATCGTATGTTTACCTTTTCAGGTATGTAGTAAATCCTCAATTTATTTTTATGGACTACAATACTCGGCCATACAGGGGCTAATCTGGTAGATGATTTTCTGAAAAGTGAGGATTTAACCAGAGACGCCATCCAGATTTCCAGACCTAAACCCTGTAGAACATGTCTAGGATACTCTTAGGAGGGCAACTGTAAGTTGCTTTCTCCCTCCCAGAATCCTCTAGGACATGAAAATAGCATTGCTGCGGGAGTGAGACAACTGCCACAGGTCTCAAATTCCCTGATTTAAAGTATAAAGTGACATTGTGAGAGCTGTACGGCTATTAAAGGGGACCATACCTCCTATTAGCCTGCTTTCTTATTTGCTCATGCAAACTTTGTTTTAGGTCTTTCTGTGCTGATTAGCATGCTACACAATGATGTTTGTATAGCGGATTGTTGTATGACTTTTTTTTTTTTTTTTTTTTTTTTTTGGTATTATATCAACTTACGTCCATAGCAAATTGCACTAAAATCTGCCCATTACTCCTGGAGAATTTCAACATAGTGGTAAAATTATCTTAATTTTTAAAACTAGAGTATGTACCAAAATACTAAAAATTGTAAGGATATCATGTTTGCCGAATTACATAACTTCAATTTTAGAATATTAGTTGAAATTACAAATTATTTAGCTAATTATGCATTAGAAATTTTTATGAAATGTTTATGTATATTGGAAAGGATTAGTGTAAATGTAATTTAATAATAAATATATGTGAATAATAGTTTTTTTTTTTTTTTTTTTTTTTTTTTTTTTTTTTTCTCCCTTGTAGTTAACCATACAATTTGATGATAGAGCAACTTCTACTTTTGAATATCCATCTGAAAATGCAAGTCCCTCACCTCTGGATGAAAATGGAAGTTGGAATGACACAACAAAATCAGGAATTGAACTTGGATCTGCTGCAAACTCAAGTAAAATCTTTTTTCACTGTATTTTTCTCTGGTCTGAAAATGTCATTCATTTCTTTTTAAGTCTCAATTAATACTTCTGATAAAATTTTGTTCTGATTATTTTTTTGCTTCAAAAAGTTTGAACGCTGAAATATGTTGCCATTCAAACATTACTTAATAAAATATTTTTTTCTTCTCTAGTATTATAAAAAAAATTAATTAGGATATCAAGTAAAATTTATAGAAGAGAATAATAATAAAAATGATAAAAAAATACAGCCAACAAAACAGCACTGTTTCTTTAGGAAATGTTGGTACTGAAGTCTAAACTTAGGAATGTGTGATGTTACATGTATAGAAAGAGGCTGATTTTCGAAAAGCTTTTGTATTTGATGAAATTTTTTGAAAACTGTGAATGGTGTCCTTGAAAACCTATTTGCCAGATTCTGTAAGCAGTCGATTGGATAGAATTTCTGGCTGAAATGATAAGGCAGCTAAAACGTCAGTGAAAATGTCATTCACATAATGCTACTCAAATCTGATCAATTTCTTAGCAAAACTACAGTATCAAGATCAGGGCCTATTAACACATGGTCCCATTCGGCACTTGTGCGGTGCCCCATGCTAATCCATTTACATTTCATTTCTGTGAGTGGTTGTTGTAAGAGCCTCAGCACAGTAGTTTGCTCAAGGGCCCATGGCACTAGTCAGGATGACCAGTTCATATACTGGTAATTATTGTTTCTGATGGGTGCTTCATGGCTTTTACTAGAAAATGATAATGTCTCAACTTACTGAAGACTATACTTTTCAACAAGTTCAAATTCTATATTTATATTGAAAACTGTATTCCTGCCATTAGAAGACTTTCTGCTGCTGTGAAGAAATGATTGCATGTGCATGGAACATTTGTCAAAAGACCTGCTGTATATATTCCACTGATTCTTTCACGTAAAGTTTAATGAAGGAAATAGGCATGAGAGCAGGTATGATGTAGCAGAGAACAATGACACTTGTTATTTGTTTGAGTCCATTATTTTGATCCGGTTATGCTATAATTTAGGGATGACGATGAACATGATACAATGAGTCAAATGATGTTGAAGAGAACTGTTTTTCTCTGTGACAGCATCTTCGTTTTGGGTAGGAAGTTTCGTTTTGGAAGTTTAAGCTGTCACATTGACATATATGCATGACCTGTGAAATCTGTTGCAGTTCAGATATGTAGGGTGACATCATTAGAGTCAGTGCTGCTTTCACTGGCTCTGGAACTGCCCTTGGATATCATTGATCATTGTGTAAGCTCATATGCTACTGCAAATACTGTTTTTGTTGTAATGGATGACAATTCCTGCTCTCACAGGACATGTATAGTTGACCAAGGTATTAGAATAGAAACTGATCTAGTGTTACTATGTTAATTTCAGATTATATTTAACTGCATAAGAGATTTTTTTTATTGGCTTTACTCTACTGTTATGAGCAGTTTTATAGAAGTAATTTCTTTATTTGTTTAATCATCCTTCTTAGTTACTCCATTTATATTTGTAACATTCAATTCACTTTATGACACCAGAAAATATATGATGCTAGATGAGGAAGCAATATATATGTTCTTTCTGAGTCTTTTAGACCTCAACAAATGCATCTGCTTATTTATTGCTTTCTATTTTTTAGCTAGTTGTCTATCCAAGTAAGATGTCCTGCATAATGTTGTGTAAGAGATTAGGTATCATTATTTTCTGTTGAATGGCCTCTTAATTTAGCAATGGTATTTTTTCACATACAGCCTTTTTCACTAACAATAACAGTTATATTAGTATAATTTTCTTAGGGTTCTATGTAGAAATTTTAGAATTCTTTATCAGAAAACTGATTTAATAAAAATTTTATTTCTTAAAAATGCTTTTATAAAATAAAAATCTGAGTCTGCATCTTATCTTTTGGGTATATGAATTTTTACTGTGGATTTTTTTAAAAAGTAAAGCAGATAAATTATATCATTAATTCATATAAAATGTTTCACATTTAGGGTTGGGACTTTCCAGTTATAAGCCTCTGGTGCTTAGTAGCAATAAAGAATTTGAGCTTGGTGTTTCTCAGCCCAATCACAGGCCTGCATCTGTTGCTGAAAAATCTGAGATTGTTGATGTTCCTACTCTGGATGTAATAATACCAGCTAATCCTGATGACACAGGTGTTTGGTCTGCAAGTGAAACTGCAGATATCCTGTTCTAATTGTTTGTAAGTAACACTAATTTACTAAGTTGTATTTTATTAGAAGTTCTTTTATGCTTCTCTGTCTTGCATCATGTTCTTATGTTTTTAGTAATTCAATAAACTTGTTCTGTTTAAAAATGAAATTGCATTCTGACGCATTTTAATAGTTTTTAATAGGCCAAAGAATCTCTTAAAGACCAAAGAACTGAAAAAAAAGGGGGGAAAATTAAGAGCAAACAATAACTGACAGAGTACTTTTCTCTGGGCATTAATTTTTTTATTTGGTATTTATTAAAACATAAATATTTGCAAAAGTGTAATACAGTCAAAAGTCTTTAATCCGGACTCGTCGGGACTTCGGCGATTCCGGATTATAGATCATCAGTTTAAATCTGGTAAGATGGCATGCAGAAATTATAAAATTAAAAATATGAAACCGTAATTTATAAAATAATGAGCAATTATGATCTAAAGGGTATCAAAATTTACAAAAAAAAGAAGCTTAATATTTATTTGTTTACTTTATTAAACATTTCTTTCAACGCGTGCATGCGTAAAGCATACCTTACGCATAGCCGAAATTAGAAAATTGCAACCAGAAAACTATTTGATTTGTATTCGTGATATTTATAATGACGAGGAATTTGATTTAAATCATATCAAAGACGGAGTACATCGAGATTAAATACTACATTTAGTAAAGAATTATAAGCCAAATAAAATAAAAACATCTGCCCTGAAGATAACGATAGTGCTGACAGATCAACTTCCAGTTCATTGCGCGCCGCGACGTTCCCCCCCCCTTGCTCAGAGCAGCGTGAAATTGATAAACAGATTTCGGAACGGTTAGATAAACAAAGGATATGCCTTTATCCATTTTTTATTTTTTGTAGCAATTCGTTTTTTGTTTGATGGACATCGAAACATACTTTCGTTTTCTAGATCCTTTGGGAGCTCCAGCATCGGAAATTCTATTTGACATAATCAAAAGTTTAAACTTACTTTTATAAAATTGCTCTTACAGTCTGCAAAAAATAATAAGCCGGATCCAATTCGAAGATTAAGGAACAATGCAATCTATACCAGTTATAATTAACCATTTGGTCGTTTCAATAATCACATAATGGATGCCATTATTAAAACTGGTTTTGGTTGGCTAGGAACTCATATGTGCCATTGCGAGCACAGTATTTGCATTTTTCATGAAGATTTTCAATGAGCTCTTTACTTAGCAGTTCCCATTATTTGAGTTTAATATAACAAAAAAGGGAGGCCTTTGTGTATTTCAAAGAATGGAACATTAAGTTTTGCTTCAGAGAATAGCTTTTGATAAAGGGAAATCGGCCTTCTACTAAAATGCATTGAACTTCTCTTTTAACTGAAATTTATTCCAAATAAAGGTTGAGTTTTTCCTTTTGATGTTAGCTCTTGAAATTCCATGGCATTTGCTCATGAATCACTATCCTAGAATATCCCACAAGTTGTTAAGTGGAATTAAGATCAGTAGATTTGAATGATTAATTTATATGTACAAACGTCTTGTTTTGATCTACCATACTAACCTTGATCAGAAGGAGCATTATCAACTTGTAGGAAAAATTACTTTCGTTGCACCTAGATTAAGGTGGATGCAGAAGTTTTGATGATGTTTGTTGATATGGTCAAAAGATTGTCAACAATTTTTAGACAGTTCCTGATAACCTATCAAGTTGAAATTTTGTACACACCTAATTTTTTTATCAATGAAATTATAATGTGGCAAAGCAATTTTTTCTAAATTCAATTGAGATTTTTTTTTTTTTTTTTTTTTTTTTTTTTTTTTTTTAGATGTTGAAAAGACTTTTTGCACTTATTGTTTAATGAACAAACTGAAAGTCTCAGACATTTACTGTTTGCACCTTTGGATAGACTGAAAAAAGAAAAAAAGTTCAATAAAATTTTTAACGTAATTTCTTATTTTTTTGGTGAATACAAAAATCGCTCAGTTTTTTTCAACCTTTTGAAATCTATTATTTTAAAATTTTAACATTTAAAAATTTAGCTTCAATTAATTAATATCAATTTTTCACAGGTTATAAAACAAACACTTCCCCCTTTCATAAAGCAAGAACGATAATAAGTTAAGTGATTTTTAACATTTTTTAGAAAAATGTGCTATGATATGAGACAGAAAAGGAAGTAATTGCTGCTTCAGTTTGAAGGTTATAATGTCATTATGTCACACTATTTTTCTTGCTACTTCCTGGATTTCTCTAAATTCGCTGTCCTTGCTGCAAAGAAGCTAAGCTTACTCTAGAAGTCCTGAAATTTTATAAATGTTGTATCTCCACCCTTTTTTTATATAGATAGATTTTGAATTTACAGTTCATTTTATTAATCTGAAAGCCAAAAGGATTGACAAGCATTTAAAATTATTTGTGATAACATCTACTGCATCACTTTAATTTTGTCTTCCATTTCATAAATTTATGTGTATTTTTTCAGCATTTCATTTTTAAAGTTGACTTCCTTAATTTTGTAGTTATTCTTTAATTGGACTTAAAAAAAATTCCAGCATCAAAAAATATATGTTAGAATTTTAAAAGTTTATGAAATAAACTCTTCACCCATTCTTAAAACAATAATGATTAAAGCACATGTTAACTAGGCGACTTTCTAGAATTTAAAAAAAAAAAAAAAAAAAAGTGTGTTTTTATAAGATTTTGTATAATTGTTGTTCATCCCTTTGGTCGGGGCCCACCAGCGGCCGAGCGGTAAAGTCACTGAACATTGGTAGTTCGGTCCGAGGTTCGAATCCCGCGAACGGGCTGGCTGCGAGAGCGTTTTCGTGGTTCCCCCAAATGTAACACATATACGAGCCAGTTTCTTTTAGAAAGTCCTCCGCGATCCCTTAGGTAGATAGCCCTCGAGGCTTTGCCATAATCACACACACACGTCACTTTGGTCAAAACTTTGCCATCCATTTTTAAACTATTCCCTCACAAGTTATTGAGCTCAAATTCTGCACATACAATCATTGTGGATGACAATACAACATGGTGAAGGGAATTTTTCAAAAGTAGATTTTTTAAAACTTAATCTAGAAACAATTATTTTGTACATATCTTCATTTACTAAACAAGCTCTCAGAAGTTTCTTGTTTGGTCCTTCAGATTGAGCAGAAAAAAAGGTGAGGCTAAAAAAATGGGGAAAAAAGTGTTTATGTTTTTATCAAATAATATATTATTTAAAACACATGAAATAATTAAGTAACTGAAAGGAGAAATATGTTATCATGTAGTTTAATGGGAAGAAGAGATTAAATAATTTTATTTAGAGTATTCATATAGCGAATAGTAAAAGCGTGTATGCTTGACCAACAGAATTGAATAATTAGAGCACCCTGCTATTTTATTATTTATGATGTAAAATTGTAGATGAATTGTTTAAAGAAAATTGTTTAGCTCTTATTTCCTTGTAAACTGTATGGTAAATTATTTTTCTCCTTTGTTCATTATTATGAACTTTGAATAAATTTTTCTTTTAGGAAATTTTCTTTTCTTGTCTTAATTTTTTAACTTCAGATTAGTCTACTTCATTTATATCATTTATTTTTTGCATTAATTTCTTCCCACCAATTTTATCTGAGAACGGGAAATGTGTAAATTCATGTGTATCCTTTTGATAACTTAACAGTGAGTAGGTAAATTATTTTTTCAATCTTCTCATCCCTGTTTAGAAAAAGTTGAAATCTGTAGAGAAGTTAAATAGTTACATATTAGATTTGAAGCAAGTAAATTAATACCTTCTTGACTTTATTAAAATTTTCTTAATGTGGTGAACATATTGAAACATCTAATTATTTGAGATATTTAATTTAATGATTTGAACATTAACTTTTGAAAAATTTAATTATTTTTTCTATTTTAGGTTCGTTCATTTGGTTATCAAGTTTCCATTCAAGTGCTTTGTATAACCTTCTCATTGACAGTGGATTAGTGTTAGTATTGAAGTAAATATTGTTAAAAATGCAAAATCATGTTTTAGTGACTGTTGATCAGCTAGCTCTTGCAGTTCTTCTTGTAAAGCTATATTTTGTGTTTCTGCTTTGTAAACTTTTTAACATTTTGTGCAAACAGTTCATTTGAACAGTTATATTTGTTCATTAAAGTGTTCAGAATACATTAGTGTAATTGAATATGAAACATTTAAAATTTTTTATTTATCTTAACATCTCAGATGCTAAGATTTGTTTTAAAATTGCAGTAGGTATTGTATTATAATATAGTGTTACAGTAAGAGAGAACATTCCTAAAAACGGAAAGTAACACATTTTGTTTTTGCCCTTTAAACAGTTCTTACATTATTATGTTAGAAATTCTGTAATACATGTTCAGAAGCTTGTTATTTCTGACAAAAAATTATTGAATGCTGTGCAGATCCTTGCATTTAATTTTGTGTTACAAGAATTATCTTGTAGCTTTTAATGTAGTGTCCTTTCAAAGTGCAAAATATAATACATTTTAAACACTTAAGTGTGATTTTATATCCTAGATTAAAGTAATTTGGGGTTTACTAAGTTTAATTTGTCACCTTAATTTTATATTTCATAGCATACTTTAGTTCTAAAAATAATAATTTTGATGAAAATTAGCTGAATTTTAAATACTGAGTGAAATGTTAACTTTTAATAATGAAAACAAACATTCCAGTAAAAAAGTAAATTTTGGAGGAAAATGTAAAATGAATTATATAATAGAGCTAAAGTAATTTCCTGTTAGTCACCCTGAGGTAAATAAATATGTTAAAAATATAATATTTTAAGCATTTAGGAGCTTTTTTTTTTAGTGTATTAACTACTGAAAATATTTGTAATTGTTTATAATAGTTATAATACAAAACTGCCCTTTTAAAATTTTTTAGGGAGGGGATAATCTTAACTTACTTATGCAGAAAAGTTAATGGGAAATATGCTTAGAATATGGATTAAATTCCTACTGTAATATTATGATTTTAGGGTTTTCATGGTTATATACAAGAAGCTTTACAAAATGGAACTGCATTATATAATAATTGATGAGCTTCTATTATAACTTACTTTTATATGAAATGAAAAAGGAACAACTTTTGTTGATATTTGTTATTCTGATTTATTTTATAACCATATAGTCATTTCAGTATATAAAATACAGTTACATTAGTAGAGTGAAGTTTTTCAGAAATATAGCACACATATTTTTTATATTTTAGTCTGTGGTTTCTTCCCATATTCATTGACATTATAAGTAAATGTATGAAGTATTGTAAACTGGTTAACCATACCATTTTCTTTGCATGTGAAAGAAAGCAACGTTTTTCATTGGCATTAAGGTGTCCTTGTGATGTGCTTTGTCTCCTGGTGGCCTTTCTGTTATAATGTAACTTTAATTACTCCCTTTACTTTTGCATCTAGTTTTTCATCTGTATTAAAAATATGATGAAACTATCTGTATTTAACATTTATAATAAGTGTAATTCTTCAATTCACTTATTTATTAAACTTCGAAATCATCTTTTTCTCATCATAAACTGTGATCTATCTCAGTGTTCTAATTTGCTGTTTACAAAATACTGCATTTTTTATGTATGTACATTTCCCGAAACAGAAATTTGTTTTTCTAATGCATTGACATCTCTTATGAAACTTACTATGTTCTAGAAAATGTCTGAGATGTTTAAAATATTTATATTAATTCTTAAGAAGTAATTACTTATGATTTACATGATATGGCTGTCGTATCCACTTTGGTAGGTTGTTGGTTATTATGTGCATAATAGCAGTATATTTTTTGAGGAATGAGAGTTGTTTTAAAAATGCCCCATGCTGCATTGGAAATTAATGAAATCCCCATTATACAACAATGTAAAATGGATTGTTTCTCGATATCCCCCCCCCATATTTTTTTAAAGTGAAGCATTATTGGCTTCTAAGTGCTGGTTTTGCCTGTTCTTAGATAGACATTTTATTTGAATATTGAATTAGTTTACTATTGATTATTTTATTTATTTTGTAGCATTTAAATATAATTTTATCAGTTTGTTTCTTTTAAATTTCTACAATATTGGTATTTTTTATTTTATGTTTTGTTGGTATAAATATTGTGTTATAATCAGTAGTATGTTGAGATGTCCTGCATTTAAATGCTTCCTTTAATATTATTAAATTAACTGTAAAATGTGAATCATTTGTACAGCAATCTTCATTGAATTTATTTTCATCTGTAACCTGTTTGAATAATCATAAAGCTTTCATACATTGAGCATTTTTTTCTAACTTGGTAAACTGTAAATATGGTCTCAAGATGCAAATATCTCTTCAAACCATATCAGTTCTTGCTTAACATAAAGCCTTTTGCTGAAGCAGTATTTTATGAAATCATTTTTAGAACATGATGATACTTTTCTTTTTATACGTTATATTTTTTTGAATGATGTATTTCCATTTGTGATTCAAAATGGAAAATTTTCAGTTACTTATTTTGTGTTGTAAGTTCTGTATTTTAAATTCACGTTAAAAGTATTATATGCTTAAAGATCCTGCAACTTGAATTATTAATAACAAGTAAACACATTGTTCTTTCTACATTTAACAAATGAATAGGAATATTTATGAATTTTGGGAAATGTTGTGGTTTTTGAATTTTGACAATTTAAATAAAATTAATGCATTTTGTAAATGTACATCTATTATAGAAATTGGATTGATGCATTTTTTATTAAATTGTTAATTTGCATGCAGACTGAGAAGAAATAATAAGGGTTTAAGGATTCTTATTAAAAATTGTACCAACAATTCTGATAAGTTCTGAGATATATTTTGTGTTTGCTTATTATTTTAGATTTTAATTATTTTTGTCAAATTTTGTTGGAAAACTTTATGTATGGTTTATAAATGTCATGAAAGTATGTATTATTTGACTATTTATTGGTAATGTGAAAGATAATTATAAATTTACACAAAACAATTAACGAATCGAGTATACTTGCATATTCTCCATGTTTGAACATTTTAATCTTATAAAATTAATACAGTACAATGTCTGTAATCCAGACTCGTCGGGACTTTGGAGATTCCAGATTAGGGGTTTTTCCGGATTCTAGATCTTCAGTTTAAATCTGGTAAGAATGGCATGCAGAAATTATGCAATTAAAAATATGAAACCATAATTTATGAAATAAAGAGCAATTATGATCTAAAGGGTATCAAAATTTGCAAAAAAAAAAAAAAAAAAAAAAAAAAAAAAAAAAAGAAGCTTAATATTTATTTGTTTACTTTATTAAACATTTCTTTCAATGTAAGTTGCTTCGTTTTTTGTGTTAATACTTTCTCTTTAATTCTATAAACAGACATAATTTCTTGTTCAGTCACAAAGTTCCAGTGTTCAAGTCCTGTAATTGCTGTGTCGAGAATACCGATTAACTTGTCAATCAAAATTTTTTAGTTTTCAATAACCTCTCTATCACTTTCTTCACTATCAGAAGCGGTATTTTCTGGATCTAGAACTATACTACAGATTTTGCCGTCCGTTGATTGAAGATTGGGGCATTGTCGTCGTGATGAAAAACTTCTGTTATATCATCTTCATTTATTACCACTTCTCCACATTTCTTTACAAAATCCAATAACTGGAAAATGTCACCTTTAGTTTGCAATTTCTGAAAACCTTCAAATTCACGGCTATCATCTTCATTGTCTTCACCATGAAATATGGTAGCTGGCCATAAATTATGCCAAGCATTTTTTAACATATCTGGAGACACATCCTCCCACGATCTTGTGATGCTCCACAAAGCAGATTTTATGCTAAAGAATTTTAAAAAGTCTTGAATAGTCTTGCCATTGTTCAAGAAATTTAACATAGATGTAAAAAATGCTACTGTATATTTACATTTCAGCACATGCACTATTCCCATATTCATAGGCTGAATGATAAACGTACAATCTGGAGGGAAGAATAATATGAATACATTATCTTTCACTAAAACTTTAAGTGAAGTATGCCCCGAACAGTTGTCAACAATCATTAATATTTTTGAGTCATCGGGTAAACCAACTGAATTCAAATGTCGCCAAGCCTCAGGTATAAAATTATTTTTGAACCAATCATTCATCAACGCTTGTGTCATCTATGCTCTTTTATTTGCACAATATATAACTGGGAAAATCTTTGCAAGTGGGATGTCGGAATCTACAAAAAATTCAAAAAGTTCCTTTTTGTTTATGTCATATACAGTTGACTTTCCAATGTCATACTCCTCGCATAATTTTGAGAGAGATAAGCCTTTATCCATTTTTTGCAGCAATTCCACTTTTTGTTTGATGGACATCAAAACATGCTTTCACTTTGTAGATCCTTTGGCAGCTGTAGAATTGGAACTGTTTTTGATTTAATCAAAAGTTCAAGCTTAATTTTTATAAAATTGCTCAAACAGTCTGCGAAAAATAATAAGCCAGATCCAATTAGAAGATTAAGGAACAGCACAATCTGCAACATTAACTGAAATGCATTAGAATCAGTAAAGATAATTTTAGCCTAGCTTATACCGTCCGTTATACATTAAACGAGCATGCGTAAAGCATACAAATAAAAAAGTTTGTAGCTTTGAGGTCCAGATTATAGATCATTCCGGATAATGGACATCTGGATTACGGACTTTGTACTGTATTTTTCTTATGTAATTTTCATTCCTTACTGAAGCGTAGACTTTAAAATGCATTTATGAAAGAAGTCCATTTTGCCTAAAGGTGGTTGAGTACTGGGGCCTTCTATTTAATAAGTGTCTTGTGTTAAATCCATATGAAAGGAAAGGATTTCTTGGTATTTAAATCCGGTTTAAACAATTTGTCTTTGTCAACCATAGGTTGTTTGTTTCTCATCCAGTGATCTATGCAAAAAATTATTTTAATAGAATAAGGATACTGAGAAAAGTCATGAAATATTTTTACTTACTATCATGATTTTGATGCATGATGAATGTTTACTCTGCAAAATAATGAAATTTATAGTTATTACACTTCAGAACTTTTGACTATATACTTTTTACTGTACATTATATTTTTAGGAATATTTAATGCTTTTACAAATTGGTTTGATATAATGTTAATAATTTTTAATACAAATTGAGACATCAGTTTTACACTTAGATACTAAATGTGATGATTTCATATAAATTAGAATTGCATGGAAGCATCAAATATGGTGCTACTTTTGACTTTCATGCCAGTTTTAGGCATATATTATTTACTGATTGAAATATGTGCCATTTTAGATACTCTGGTCACATTTATGCAAGTTATACTTGAAGTAAATGTTTACCACATTTAATTAATCATGGTATTTCAACATATATAGCCTTAATTCTGTCATGCCTTAAATACAATATTGGCTCATTTATAACTATTTGCCTTGAGTAGAATTTTATATATGTAGAAAATGTAGTGAAAATGTAATGTAATGTCATATATGTAGATAGCTAAGACAAAATAAATTGTTTGGTTTACTGATATAACTACTAAGTGTACAAGGCTATCAGCTGAGACAAAAGAATTTTTTAGAAGCTTTTAAATTATCCAGTCTTACTTTGTATCTTTTATGAGCAAAAAAATATATTTTGTGTCTGCTGTGATTTGAAACCTAATATTTGAAATTGATGCTGTATGACTGCTGTTTTAGAAAATTCATAATGAAAAATAAGTATTAAACATAATATGGTGGTTTTATTTTGCATAATTTTGATTATGAGGTTATTTGAAAGATGATGTATGTTTGTGCAATAATTCTTTTGAAGCATTTTAAATAAGTTGCATCCGTGGCTAAAGTTGAATGTTGTGCCTCGGTATGTTCATCATGATGTTAAAATGACTATTCTTATAAATAAGAAATGTTTTCTTAAAACTCGTAGGACTTACAGCAGCACACTTATCCCTTTATTTCGTATTTCCTTTTCTTCATTCCAAATCTGAATGTCTTGGCTAATTTACGACAGACATTACAAATAGAGCTTGCCATTATTTTTCTGTAATTGCTCACTATACATATAATTCCTTATATAAGCATACTAGTAAGTGAGTAATTCAATGAAATCTGCATTTTTGTATATTATTAACCTGTTAGTATGGTGCAAATGGGTGTTAGTGAAGTAGTAAATACTTGTCTATTGCTTAAATTTAACTAGCTCATACTTACTTATCTTTAGTACTTGATATAAATGTTTGATAGTTTATAAAATATGTGTTTTAAATGCATTAGATTTTTGTATTTGGGTCTTTCCCTAAAATTCAGGCTTTTTTCCAATTCTAGTGACCCGTCTTCAAGTGAAAGAAGTTTGTCTTAAAGTAGCATAAGTTTTTTAATTTCAGTAGCGTTTTGCTTTAAGATGTGAAAAAATTATTGTTTTTCACATGTTATATTTATTACAGCTATAAGTTGCACATTGTTCTAATTATGTTATATAAATAGTTACTAAAATCTTACTTTGCTAAGCTAGTTTTTGAATTATAAAATAGCTTTTAAAATCGTGTTTCCTTTACTTTTAGAAAAGCCCTTTAGACTGCATCTTTGATGTTAATCTATAAAGTAAATATTAGTAAATAAATTGGTATTTGATTTGGCTTTAAAATTGAGATTTCATGAAATTTATGAAAATTGCATTAGTTTTTAAGTTTACATAATTTTTTTGCAACACATTTTAGTTCAGCAGTTATCAGATGGTGTGTATATAAATTCATCTAGTCAAAAATAGGTTATTTTTAATTAGAAATTTGTAAGTGTACATTTTCAGTCACATATTTGTATGAATATTGTTCATGTGCTATATATAAGTCTGGTATCTAGTGTTTACTTTTGCATTTCACTTTATCAGATATCTTATCATGTTCAGGATTTCTTCTCTTATTTGTTACATAAGCTACACATAATATGTACGTGTAAATTTATAGTCATTTTTGTAATTACAGTTTACTGAATGATATTCCTGTACCAGTGAAAAATTAAGTACATTGCTTCAGCTGTTATGTGAAGTAAAACTAAGTTAATATATCTTAAATAATATATTTTGTGAAGTGTATGGTAGCAAATTTGTGATAATGTTGATATGTCTTAAATTGATAAACATAATTTGTTTGTCATAAATTTTGGAAAAATAAATATTTGATTGCATTCCAGCGTATGTATTTAGTAGAATATTTAATTTGGATTCAAGTAGCTACATGTTTATCAGAAAGTTATTCCATGACTTCCCAATGTTATAAATACCAAATAACAAAACTGTTGTAGAAAAGTTTTAGACATTTATCGTAATTATATAAACATTTTATGCACAGTGTTGATAGGCATGCAAGAGAATTATTTACTTATAAATTTTTTTTATATGTGACTTAGTTGATATAAATGTTATGTGAATGCTTTTTTTATGTAGTGAGAATTATCTTTTGTATGAATCATGCTGAAGTTATAGATTGTTTTGTCATTAGAGGCCTTACTTTAATTAAAGTATAAGAAAGAAACCAAAGATGTTTTTATCATGGTTTGTTCAGGGACCATTGGTAATACCTCTTGGAAAACATGAATTTATAATTGATGTAAATAAATGGTTTCATGTGATATCTATTTCTGAAGAATTTGTGTTGAAATTGAATGATTAAATTAAATTTATAAATTTCTGTCATTTTTGGGCTATTTTGTTGCTATTTCTACTTGTCCTTGTATTGTTAATAGATGTCATCTTTATACTATTGAATGAAATATGTTTATGTGACTTCTTGGCATTGAAATATGTGAGAAGGAAAAGTTTATTAGGATGAAATTCAATATTTAAAAATAACTGTAGCACGAGTTTTACTTGTAGCATAGTAGCCTAGGAATTTCCTTTCTGAGGATGTTCATAGCTTTTAGTAGTCATGTCACTGTATCAGCACATAATAAAATTATGTATGCCAAAACAATTACTTAATCTTATATTTGCTATAATTCAGCTTGTTGTAAAATTTTGGAGATACAAAGTATTAATATTTTCAAATGTAATTTGTAGTCTTTTCACAATTTTTATTTGTTCAAAATTGGAACACATTATATTACAATAATTAACATAAAATTTATTATATTAACTTGAAGTTAAATTTTATGTCTTTATGTAGT